TGGGCTGGTTTGGCGTGCGACGGAGCCAATGAGTACAAAGAGGCGGGAGTAACGATTCTAGAGGCCGTCGGCGTGACGACAGATGCGTAAAGTGCTTTGTGCGTTGGAGATGCGCGCGTGTGAGTTTCCTCTTTCACCGGGTGTTTGCGGAGACACTGAATCACCTGGCGCTCCGATGCGAGAGGAGAAGCACATCGTTCGGTCTTTACTTTTTTGTTGGGCTCCTCTGAGTGACCCGGATCGGGCGTACGCTCGTGCTCCTGAAGGCTTCGAATGACTCCTTTGTGGCCCGTTTGAGGGAAAACAGGGATGGGAATGGGAATCGGCACCGGGATTGGCACGAAAACCGGGTAGGGTGATAACATCATGGGCTGCGGCCAGGGCGGGGGTAAATGGGGCGGGTACGCCGGGTGGAAGGGCATGTAAGGGGCGGGGAAAGGCTGGAGGAGAGGAGGCGGCGCAAAGGAAGCCCTCTGGTTAGGGCTGAGGGGGCGGGGCGGGTGAGAGGCGGGGCTTCGCAGGGGTGGGCGCACAAAGGGGAGGGGCATCGGAGGTGGGCGTGGCTGTTCCGGAGTAACACGAGCCGGGCGAGCCGTAGAAGAGGGCGATACGCTGGTCTGAATCCTCAGCTGCGGCGGGCTTCGGGGCGAGAGGGTTTTCGCTGGTCTGTCCCAGGCCTCCGGGGTGAGGAGTTTCTGGTTTTCTGCCACAGCCGTTTTGGGGCGGTCCTCCTCATCTTTGTGGGCGGAGCCGGAGAGGGCGGCACGAGCTTCCTGGTAAAACACGTCCATCTTGTAGTGGTTTAGGCATTTGGTGCTGCAGAACTGCAGGCGCTCCTCGCCCGAACCGAAGTCCAGGTACTCTTTAGTGTGACGCGGGTGTTTACACCAATCACACACCTGCAGAGAGACGGTTTTACAAAACACATCCATTCTGAAGTCTTCACATTTTAATATTTCCTTTTGTAAGTCACTTTTAGGCATATTTCGACATATATTACATATTTTTAATTTATTATTTTTTTTATAAACATTAATAATTTTGTACAATTCATTAATATATGAATAATTATTGTATTTTTATAAGCAAATATTTATTTTTAATTATTTGCACAAAATATTTTTATATGTGTAATTATGTATGTTTAATACAATACATGAATATGTATACTTATTTCATTTTAATTAACAAAATATTTTTAATTACACAAAACATTTTTCTATAATTGAACATTATACATTATTATAATTATTATTATATAAGGCGATCATGAGTTTGAGCAAAAGCTAATTATCTCAGATAATTAGTTTTAAATATGTGACAATATTTCCCCTTGATATCCAATATTTATATTTTTTAAGATATTGTATTGAAGTTCAAAAATCTAGTATAATGAATAAATAAATAAGAATACATTCCTTAATATTAATGATTAAATGTAATATATTTATAAATAATGCTTGATATTTGTCTTATCTAGTAACGGTTTCTACACGCAGTAATCGGCGCACGTGTGTTTATTTACACGCGTGTTGTTGTTCATCTTCAGCAGAAGTCTTGAGGGCGTGTCCAGCGTCTGGCCAGGGGGCGGAGACTGGTCGCCATGACGATCCTCATCTCGAGTCTGGAGGAACACAAACACACACAAATAGTAATCTGAAGCGCTTTGTTTGTGTGAAATATAAACATGTATTCGTCAGGGTTATTACAGTTAATCAACTAAAGCTAAAACTACATGAAAAAAAAAACTTTTGCCACTTTTGCTGGGAAAATTTTTTTTTAACTATAAAATATATTTAAAAAATATATTATTAATATTAACAAAAACTATAATCGTATCTCAATAACAACAGCTGATTCAGACACAGCGAAATGTCAGACGTGATGACAATGCGTTTGGTTTTCATTCTAAGTCTAACACTAGATCTATTGTTTTAGTAAAGTCTTTCTGTGAAATGCACTCGTCCTGCACAGCCAACCGCGCTTGCTTTGATATCGAATATCAGCTGAGAGACACAGACACGTTTAATAACTGCATCTGAAGAATCCAGAGACGTTATTCTGTGTGTGAGTGTGTGTGTGAGTGTGTGAGTGTGTGAGTGTGTGTGTGTGTGAGTGTGAGTGTGAGTGTGTGTGTGTGTGAGTGTGAGAGTGTGAGTGTGAGTGTGAGTGTGTGAGTGTGCGAGTGCGAGTGCGAGTCTGTGAGTGTGAGTGTGAGTGTGAGTGTGAGTGTGTGTGTGTGTGAGTGTGAGAGTGTGAGTGTGAGTGTGAGTGTGTGAGTGTGCGAGTGCGAGTGCGAGTCTGTGAGTGTGAGTGTGAGTGTGAGTGTGAGTGTGTGTGTGTGTGAGTGTGAGAGTGTGAGTGTGAGTGTGAGTGTGTGAGTGTGCGAGTGCGAGTGCGAGTCTGTGAGTGTGAGTGTGAGTGTGAGTGTGAGTGTGTGTGTGTGTGAGTGTGAGAGTGTGAGTGTGAGTGTGAGTGTGTGAGTGTGCGAGTGCGAGTGCGAGTCTGTGAGTGTGAGTGTGAGTGTGAGTGTGAGTGTGTGTGTGTGTGAGTGTGAGAGTGTGAGTGTGAGTGTGAGTGTGTGAGTGTGCGAGTGCGAGTGCGAGTCTGTGAGTGTGAGTGTGAGTGTGAGTGTGAGTGTGTGTGTGTGTGAGTGTGAGAGTGTGAGTGTGAGTGTGAGTGTGTGAGTGTGCGAGTGCGAGTGCGAGTCTGTGAGTGTGAGTGTGAGTGTGAGTGTGAGTGTGTGTGTGTGTGAGTGTGAGAGTGTGAGTGTGAGTGTGAGTGTGTGAGTGTGCGAGTGCGAGTGCGAGTCTGTGAGTGTGAGTGTGAGTGTGAGTGTGAGTGTGTGTGTGTGTGAGTGTGAGAGTGTGAGTGTGAGTGTGAGTGTGTGAGTGTGCGAGTGCGAGTGCGAGTCTGTGAGTGTGAGTGTGAGTGTGAGTGTGAGTGTGTGTGTGTGTGAGTGTGAGAGTGTGAGTGTGAGTGTGAGTGTGTGAGTGTGCGAGTGCGAGTGCGAGTCTGTGAGTGTGAGTGTGAGTGTGAGTGTGAGTGTGTGTGTGTGTGAGTGTGAGAGTGTGAGTGTGAGTGTGAGTGTGTGAGTGTGCGAGTGCGAGTGCGAGTCTGTGAGTGTGAGTGTGAGTGTGAGTGTGAGTGTGTGTGTGTGTGAGTGTGAGAGTGTGAGTGTGAGTGTGAGTGTGTGAGTGTGCGAGTGCGAGTGCGAGTCTGTGAGTGTGAGTGTGAGTGTGAGTGTGAGTGTGTGTGTGTGTGAGTGTGAGAGTGTGAGTGTGAGTGTGAGTGTGTGAGTGTGCGAGTGCGAGTGCGAGTCTGTGAGTGTGAGTGTGAGTGTGAGTGTGAGTGTGTGTGTGTGTGAGTGTGAGAGTGTGAGTGTGAGTGTGAGTGTGTGAGTGTGCGAGTGCGAGTGCGAGTCTGTGAGTGTGAGTGTGAGTGTGAGTGTGAGTGTGTGTGTGTGTGAGTGTGAGAGTGTGAGTGTGAGTGTGAGTGTGTGAGTGTGCGAGTGCGAGTGCGAGTCTGTGAGTGTGAGTGTGAGTGTGAGTGTGAGTGTGTGTGTGTGTGAGTGTGAGAGTGTGAGTGTGAGTGTGAGTGTGTGAGTGTGCGAGTGCGAGTGCGAGTGTGTGAGTGTGAGTGTGAGTGTGTGTGTGTGTGTGAGTGTGTGTGTGAGTGTGAGTGTGTGTGTGTGAGTGTGAGTGTGTGAGTGTGTGAGTGTATGTGTGTGAGTGTGTGAGTGTGAGTGTGTCTGTGTGAGTGTGAGTGTGAGTGTGTGTGAGCAAACCAGACTGAAGGAAGATCATCAGATGATGAACTCTCTCTCTCCTGCTGTGTGTGTGTGTGTGTGTAACCGGAGAGTCCTGTGTGTAAAGTATGCGCTGTAAGATGAATCCTCTCTCTCTCTCCGACAGGCTCAAACTGTCAGTGTGTGTGTGACTCTGGGCTGATAAACGATCTTGTGTGTTTCTTCTCTCTGTTGTGGGAATGTGCTGTTCGTTAAGCAGAAACACAGCAGCCTGTAAAGCGATGCCTTCATGTGAGTGTGTGAGAGAGTGTGTGTTTGTGTGTGTGTGTGTGTGAGTGTCTGTGTGTGTGTCTGTGTGTGTGTGCAGAGGCTGATCTGACAGCGATGGACTCAGGCTTAAATGCAATGCAATTGTGCAATAATAAATATAAAAAGATAAATAAAAAAACTCACACACAGACACACACACACACACACACACACACACACACTCACACACTCTCACACACACACACACACACTCACACACTCTCACACACACACACACACACTCACACACTCTCACACACACACACACACACTCACACACTCTCACACACACACACACACACTCACACACTCTCACACACACACACACACACTCACACACTCTCACACACACACACACACACTCACACACTCTCACACACACACACACACACTCACACACTCTCACACACACACACACACACTCACACACTCTCACACACACACACACACACTCACACACTCTCACACACACACACACACACTCACACACTCTCACACACACACACACACACTCACACACTCTCACACACACACACACACACTCACACACTCTCACACACACACACACACACTCACACACTCTCACACACACACACACACACTCACACACTCTCACACACACACACACACACTCACACACTCTCACACACACACACACACACTCACACACTCTCACACACACACACACACACTCACACACTCTCACACACACACACACACACTCACACACTCTCACACACACACACACACACTCACACACTCTCACACACACACACACACACTCACACACTCTCACACACACACACACACACTCACACACTCTCACACACACACACACACACTCACACACTCTCACACACACACACACACACTCACACACTCTCACACACACACACACACACTCACACACTCTCACACACACACACACACACTCACACACTCTCACACACACACACACACACTCACACACTCTCACACACACACACACACACTCACACACTCTCACACACACACACACACACTCACACACTCTCACACACACACACACACACTCACACACTCTCACACACACACACACACACTCACACACTCTCACACACACACACACACACTCACACACTCTCACACACACACACACACACTCACACACTCTCACACACACACACACACACTCACACACTCTCACACACACACACACACACTCACACACTCTCACACACACACACACACACTCACACACTCTCACACACACACACACACACTCACACACTCTCACACACACACACACACACTCACACACTCTCACACACACACACACACACTCACACACTCTCACACACACACACACACACACTCACTCACTCACACACACTCACACACACACTCACACACACACACTCACACACTCACACACACTCACACACACACACACACACACACAAAGACAGATGTTAAAAGATAAATAAATAAAAAACGCTTAAAAAAACATTAGAAAATCAAGTATTTTCAAACAATCAAGTGCATATATATCGGGGTTATTACGGTTAACTAAAACCGTAAACAAGCCCTGAAAATAAATATCTTAAAATATTTTAAAATAAACGTGATTTATTTTGATTGTTTTTATTTTAAAATATTTAAATAAATTTTTATAATAAAACACTTACAAAAAAATTGTGCATATATATATCAGGGTTGTTAACTAAAACTAAAACCATAAAACCTTCATCAATTACAATACATTTAAAAAATATATTTTGAAAATAAAACAATCTATTTTATTTTGACAAATTTTAAGTAATTTTTATTAATAAAATACTTACATATAAAAAAAATAATATTTAATTTTTAACTGTGTGTCATGTGACCATTAACCGAAAGTCATGAACATGCTAAATAATTGATGAATTATTGAAATATTAACATAAAAGTAGTCGACATGACTTTTTCAATTTAAACTTACTCTCAGATTGTGACACTAAAATTATCTTAGACCTTTGGACCACGTTGTACAATATATTAATAGCTAAAAATATTAAAATATATTTATTTTAATTTATTATTATTATTTATTTAATTTAAATATTTTTATTTATTATTTTATTATTTTATTTATTAATGATATATTATTATTTTAACATAACTTTTCCTCAAAATTGACAAAAGGCTGGAGGGCTCTTCACCTTGTTGCGTTTGAAGAAGGCGCGTCGACACGCGGCGAAACACTTCTCGCTGCAGAAGCTCTTGAGCTCGGAGCCCATGAGCAGAGAGTAGCGCTTCACGCCCTCCTTCTGACACCAGACGCACACGATCGGCTCGTTCTGCTCGTCCTCCGCTGAACACAGACACGCGGCAGAGTCAGTATTACACCAATCACACATTTCCAGAGTTTATCTGCGTGTGTTCTGCGCTGCACACCGGCAGAGGGCTTGATGAGCGGCACGATGACGTTCATGCTCCTGACGGGCTCTGAGGAAGATGATGAGGATGAGGGCAGCTTCCTCTCCTCGGCGTGTGGCTTTGGCACGGAGTTCTCTGGAGGATAAATCACAGTCACACGGAGGAAGCGAGGCGAGCAGCAGCTGTGAATGTGTGCGTGTACCTTTAAGAACAGATATATGGTTGTGTTTGACACGGGTTTCTGAGTCCTGCAGATCCACTGAATCATAGCCGTACCAGCCCAACAACTCATTCATGGTGCTTTCAGCAAAGCTCTGCAACACAGACACACACCTGCTGTGATCAGAGCAGACATCCGCCGGAGCACATACATGTGACCCTCTCTGTGCTGAAGTCTCAAAGCATCAAAGTTTGATTTCAGCCGTTCATTTCACTAGGATTTCAACCTTTGACATGGTCTTACTCGGTCAGTAGGCTAATAAAGATATAAAGGTTATATTTTCATGGAATGTTCTACATCTTTATGATTTTCAAAACATTAAATCACAAAAAAATGACTTTAGCTGGGTTTTCACAGGCATATATATATATATATATATATATAGCACAAGAACATATACAATGTATTTAATTTAAACATGTTCCAACACATAAAATTTAATATAAATGTGCATATGTACTGTGTGTGAGTGTGTGTGTGTGTGTGTTTGTGTGTGTGTGT